ATTAATGCCCCGATCAAATTCCTCAGCTGGTGAACGTCTAGATGGCTTGGAGACGAGAGGCTGTGGGATGGTGCGGCTGCGGAACACGATGAATGCGCTGGAGGCCCTGTATGTATCAAAATCATCAGGGTCAATGAGGACACAGTTAGTCAGAGTAACTGGGTCCTGAAGCACAGTTTCTCGGTGGTAGACGTAGCCACGGATCCCATGGAGATATACCTTAAGAGGTTTTGGCACATCCCGAAGTACATCAGGTTGAGGGTCACCGTTAGCATCACGTGGCTGACTGACAGGATACTGTAGTCCGTCAATATCAGCATCATCCATGCCAACAAGATCAAGGTAACATTTGCAACCGTATAAGTCAAGTGCGAGATGGAGGATGCTGCCAGCACTGCAGCCTAAGACAGTTTCCAGGATGTACACAAGACTTGTTTCAAGATGTCCAGGTTGTAGGACTCGAGACGGGTTGCGGTTTGTTATTGAGTTGCCAGCAGTGGACATTGTCACTCGTGTGCCTGATGGTTGAGTAGTACTAGTGGCGGGCAGTTGAGTGATGTTGGTGTCAATGTTCAGAGCTTGCAATTCTCTTTGACCGATTCGGACCATGCAGGAGTTGACTCAGAGGAATGAAACTCAGTCAACTTAGTTGATCAGAAGATCAGTTGACTGGTTGGAGTCAGATGATGGTCGAAGTAAAATTGAAGCAACACGCCTGAAGGTTTGTTTCCTGATGTGCTGGTGTAGGACTGCAGGATTGGGCGCACAATTGCCCTTTCCAGATTGTTTTACTTCTTGATTCGCACCAAGAAGGTGATCTCTCGCTTTTGAGACTTCCACCACAGAAGCTTTTCAATCAAAAGAAGAAATCGGATCCCTTGCTCCGTTGAAAACTCCTGACGACATGAAGGAGGTGAACAGGGGCAGCACGAGCTGGCAAGACTCAGCGCTCTCTTGAATTAAAATACTCCAAATCAAATGGCAAGGGCAATAGGGCCGCTCAATGCCAACATGCCACAATAAGCCGAAAAACTCCGAGTCGTCGTGGGACCAAAACTTGGAAATAACTCGTTGCCAATCGTTGACGAGTTCTTCACTCAAACTGAAAAGTATGGGTATGAAAAACCCCAAAGAATTATTCTATTCGAGCGGTGGTAGAGGATGGGCTTGATGGGAGCCCAAAGAACTTGCGAGACGCTGAAAAAATCGATCCGCGAGTTGTTGTATGGTTCGTCCTTTTTGATGGGAAGACGAACTCCAAAATGTGAATTGTCCTTGTCTTTGATGGTAGATTGTTGGGATATGACGAAATATGAGTTTTTACGTTCCAAAAGAAACTATTCAAGTACGAGGTTTTTGACACGTGCGATCGGACTTTGATCGTGCGCGATGTCGGGATTTGACGCAAGTATGCCGGACGCAAGTCTGTCGGACAATATGTATCCACACAAACAGGAAAAGATCCTGTACAAGTGGAATATTGATGTTGTGTACGATGCAGTAGGGAATAATGCAAGATATCCCAAAGTACTGCATTCAACACAGAATTGTCGTAGAAGTCGAAT